TTTACGCCTACACCGTGCATGAATGTGAGATACTGACCATGTGTTTAATCTACACCCACACCGTGCATGAATGTGAGATACTGACCATGTCTTTAGTTTACTCCCACACCGTGCATGAATGTGAGATACTGACCATGTGTTTAGTTTACTCCCACACCGTCCATGAATGTGTGATACTGACCATGTGTTTAATCTATACCACACCGTGCATGAATGTGAGATACTGACCATGTGTTTAGTTTACGCCTACACCGTGCATGAATGTGAGATACTCACCATGTGTTTAGTTTACACCTTAGCTTTAGCTTTATGTGTATCCCCTATGTACAGTCCAATTCGCCATTCATACTCATAGAGCATTATGTGTATCCCCTATATACAGTCCAATTCCAATATACCCAGTGTATACTCTGTCATCCTCCAGGCTCACAGACAGTTAGGAATACCAAGTGTATAACCTGTCATCCACCGTGCTCCCAGACCATGAGGATAACCCAGTGTATACTCTGTCACCCACCATGCTCCCAGACCGTGAGAAGTCCCCAGCGTATACCCGTCATCCACCGTCCTCCCAGACCGTTAGGAATACCCAGTGTATAACCTGTCATCCACCGTGCCCCCAGAACATGAGAAGTGCTCCGTGTATACCCTGTCATGTATACCATCACATTCGTCGTATTCAGAGAGCGTTGGGTGTGCCTTGTAGTTACACTCCAATTCGCCATTCATACTGCTAGAGCTTTATGTGCATTACCTATGTACAGTCCAATTCGCCATTCATACTGCTAGAGCATTATGTGTATCCCCAATGTACAGTCCTATTCGCCATTCATAGGTACAGTCCTATTCGCCGTCTTCCTATAAACCGTACTCATGGGACAGAAGAACTGTAATATATATATATATATATATATATATATATATATATATATATATATATATATATATATATATATATATATATATATATATATATATATATATATATATATATATATATATCCTACTCAAGTTGTGTTCTTGAAGCGGGGAAGAACCCACTTTATGAACTCAATTGTTAATACTCTAAGAGCGTGTACCCAGAATAAACTCTCCCACTTGCAATACTTTTCGAAGTTTGGAAGTACCCAGTGTATACTCTGTCATCCACCATACTCCCTGACCGGGAGGAGTACCCAGTGTATACTCTGTCATCTGTCTGTGCTCCCAGACCGTGAGGGAGTACCAGTGTATACTCTGTCATCAACCATGCTCCCGACCGTGAGGAGTACCCAGTGTATACCCAATCATCCACCGTGTAAACTCTGTCGCCCACCATACTCAAAGACAGTGAGGATTACCAGAGTATATACCCTGAAATCAACCGTCCACCCAGACCGTGAGGTATGTCCAGTGTATACCATGTCACCCACCGCACTCCCAAACCAGGAGGAGTAACCAGTGTATACCCTGTCATCCACCGTGATCCCAGACCGTGAGGAGTCCCCAGTGTATATCCTGTCATCCACAGTGATCCCAGGCCGTGAAGAATACCCAGGGTATACCCTGTCATCAACAGTGCTCCCTGACAGTGAGGAGTACCCTGTGTATACTCTGTCTCCCACCATACTCCCAGACCGTAAGGAATGCCGAGTTTGTACCCTGTCACCCACCGTGCTCCCAGACAGTCAGGAATACCCAGTGTCTACTCTGTCATCCACCATGCTCACAGACAGTGAGGAATACCCAGTTTATACTCTGTCAACCTCCATACTCCCAGACAGTGAGGAGTACACAGTACATAACCTGAAATCCACCATACTCCCAGACCGTAAGGAATGCCGAGTTTGTACCCTGTCACCCACCGTGCTCCCAGACAGTCAGGAATACCTGGTGTCTACCCTGTCATCCACCGCGATCCCAGACCGTGAGGAGTCCCCAGTGTATACCAAGTCACACCGTGCTCCCAGACAGTGAGGAGTACCCAGTGTATACCCTGTCATCCACCGTGCTCCCAGGCCGTAAGGAATACCCACTGTACACCCTGTAATCCGACGTGCTCCCAGACCGTGAGGAATAGCCAGTTTATACGCTGTCACCCAAAATACTGCCAGAGCATGAGGAATACCGAGTGTGTTCTCTGTCACCCAACGTGCTCCCAGACTGTAAGCAGTCCCCAGTGTATACCCTGTCACCCACCGTGCTCCCAGACCGTGAGGAATACCCAGTATATACCCAGTCATCCACTGTGCTCCCAGACCGCGAGGTATGCTCTCACCCACCATACTCCCAGATCGTGAGTAATAAATAGTGTTTACCGTCATCCACCGTGCTCCCAGAACATGAGAAGTGCTCAGTGTATACCCTGTCACGTATACCATCACATTCGTCGTATTCATAGAGCGTTGGGTGTGCCTTGTAGTTACATTCCAATTCGCCATTCATACTGCTAGAGCTTTATGTGTATCCCCTATGTACAGTCCTATTCGCCATTCATACTCCTAGAGCATTATGTGTATCCCCTATGTACAGTCCTATTCGCCGTCTTCCTATAAACCGTACTCATGGGGCAGAAGAACTGTAATATATATATATATATATATCCTACTCGTTGTATTCTTGAAGCGCGGGGAAGAACCCACTTTATGAACTCCAATTGTTCATACTCTCAGAGCGGGTACCAGAATAAACCCTCCCATTTGCAATACTTTTCGAAGTTTGGAAGTACCCAGTGTATAATCTCTCACCCACCGAGCTCCCAGACCGTGAGGAGTGCCCAGTATATACCCTGTCACCCACCGTGCTCCCAGGCCGTAAGGAGTACCCAGTGTTTACCCTCTAATCCACCGTGCTCCCAGACCGTGAGGAATACCCAGTTTATACTCTGTCACCCACCGACCTCCCAGACCATGAGGGTACCCAGTGTATACCCTGTCACCCACTGTGCTCCCAGACAGTGAAGAATACCCAGGGTATACCCTGTCACCCACCGTGCTCCAAACCGTCAGGAATAACCAGTGTATACCCTGTCACACACCATACTCCCAGACAGTGAGGAATACACAGTATATACTCTGTCACCCACCGTGCTCCCAGACCGTGAGGAGTACCCAGTATATACCCTGTCATCCACCGTGCTCCCAGACCGTCAGGTATGCTGTCACGCACCATACTCCCAGACCGTGAGGAATAACCAGTGTATACCCTGTCATCCACCCGTGCTCGCAGACTGTGAGGAATACCCAGTATATACCCTGTCATCCACCGTGCTTCCAGAACGGCAGGTATGCTGTCACGCACCATACTCCCAGACCGTGAGGAATAACCAGTCTATACCCTGTCATCCACCGTGCTCGCAGACTGTGAGGAATACCCAGTGTATACTCTGTCATCCACCATGCTCCCAGACCATGAGGAGTACCCAGTGTATATCCTGTCATCCACCGTTCTCCCCAGACCGTGAGGAATACCCAGTGTATACCCTGAAACCCACCATGCTCCCAGACAGTGATAAGTACCCAGTATATACCCTGAAATTCACCATGCTCCCAGACCGTCAGGTATGCTGTCACACACCATACTCCAGACCGTGAGGAATGACCAGTGTATACCCTGTCATCCACCGTGCTCGCAGATTGTGAGGAATACCCAGTGTATACGCTGGCATCCTCCAGGCTCACAGACAGTTAGGAATACCAAGTGTATATCCTGTCATCCACCGTTCTCCCAGACCGTCAGGAATACCCAGTGTATACCCTGTCATCCACAGTGCTCCCAGACCGTGGGGAATACCCAGTGTATACCCTGTCATCCACCGTGCTCCCAGAACATGAGAAGTGCTCAGTGTAAACCCTGTCATCCACCATACTCCCAAACAGTGATAAGTACCCAGTATATACTCTGAAATCCACCATGCTCCCAGACCGTGAGGGTATGCCCAGTGTATACCCTGTCACCCACCGTGCTCCCAGACAATGAGGAATCCCCAGCGTATACCCTATCATCCACCGTGATCCCAGACCATGAGGGAGTACCCAGTGAATACCCTGTACATCCACCATGCTCCCACACCGTGAGGAGAACCCAGTGTATACTCTGTCAATCACCATGCTCCCACGCCGTGAGAGTACGCAGTGTATACCCTGACACCTACCCTGCTCCCACACCGTGAGGAGTCCCCAGTGTATACCCTGCCATCAACCGTTCTCCCAGATTGTGAGGAATACCCAGTGTATACCCTGTCATCCAACGTGCTCACAGACAATGAGGAGTGCTCAGTGTATACCCTGTCACCCGCCATACTCACAGACAGTGAGGATTACCGAGAGTATATACCCAGAAAACAAGCGTCCACCCAGACCGTGAGGTATGTCCAGTGTATACCATGTCACCCACCGCGCTCCCAAACCAGGAGGAGTAACCAGTGTGTACCCTGTCATCCACCGTGATCCCAGACCGTGAGGAGTCCCCAGTGTATACCCTGTCATCCACAGTGATCCCAGGCCGTGAAGAATACCAAGGGTATACCCTGTCATCAACAGTGCTCCCCGACCGTGAGGAGTACGGAGTGTATACTCTGTCACCTACCATACTCCCAGACCGTAAGAAATGCCGAGTTTGTACCCTGTCACCCACCGTGCTCCCAGACAGTGAGTAATACCAAGGGTATACCCTGTCATCAAACGTGCTCCCCGACAGTGAGAAGTACCCAGTGTATACTTTTTCACCCGCGATACTCCCAGACCGTGAGGAATGCCGAGTTTGTACCCTGTCACCCACCGTGCTCCCAGACCGTCAGGAATACCCAGTGTATACTCTGTCATCCACCATGCTCACAGACAATGAGGAATACCCAGTGTATACTCTGTCATCCACCATGCTTCCAGACCGTGAGGAGTGCCCAGGGTATAGCCTGTCACCATCCGTGCTCACAGACCGTGAGGAATACCCAGTGCATACTCTGTCATCCACCATACTTCCAGACCGTTAGGAGTACCCAACGTATACCCTGTACATGCACCATGCTCCCACACCTTGAGGAGCACCCAGTGTATACCCTGTTACCCACCGTGGACCCAGACGGTGAGGAGTATTCAGTTGATATTTTGTCACCAACCGTGCTTCCAGACCTTGAGGAGTACCCAGTGTATACACTGTCATCCACCATGCTCACAGACAGTGAGTAATACCCAGTGTGTACGCTGTCATCCACCATGCTTCCAGACCGTGAGGAGTGCCCAGGGTATAGCCTGTCACCAACCGTGCTCCCAGACCGTGAGGAATACCCAGTGCATACTCTGTCATCCACCATACTTCCAGACCGTTAGGAGTACCCAACGTATACCCTGTACATGCACCATGCTCCCACACCTTGAGGAGCACCCAGTGTATACCCTGTTACCCACCGTGGACCCAGACGGTGAGGAGTATTCAGTTGATATTTTGTCACCAACCGTGCTTCCAGACCTTGAGGAGTACCCAGTGTATACACTGTCATCCACCATGCTCACAGACAGTGAGTAATACCCAGTGTGTACGCTGTCATCCACCATGCTTCCAGACCGTGAGGAGTGCCCAGGGTATAGCCTGTCACCAACCGTGCTCCCAGACCGTGAGGAATACCCAGTGCATACTCTGTCATCCACCATACTTCCAGACCGTTAGGAGTACCCAACGTATACCCTGTACATGCACCATGCTCCCACACCTTGAGGAGCATCCAGTGTATACCCTGTTACCCACCGTGGACCCAGACGGTGAGGAATATTCAGTTGATATTTTGTCACCAACCGTGCTTCCAGACCTTGAGGAGTCCCCAGTGTATACCCTGTCATCCACCGTGCTCCTAGATCGTGAGGAGTACCCAGTGTATACCCGGTCTCACACCGTGCTCCCAGACTGCGAGGAGTACCAAGTATATACCCTGTCATTCACCGTGCACCCAGACAGTGAGTAATACCACGGGTATACCCTGTCATCAAACGTGCTCCCCGACAGTGAGGAGTACCCAGTGTATACTTTTTCACCCGCGATACTCCCAGACCGTGAGGAATGCCGAGTTTGTACCCTGTCACCCACTGTGCTCCCAGACCGTCAGGAATACCCAGTGTATACTCTGTCATCCACCATGCTCCCAGACCGTGAGGAATACCCAGGGTATACCCTGTCAACCACCATGCTTCCAGACCGTGAGGAGTGCCCAGTGTATACCCTGTCACCAACCGTGCTCCCAGACCGTGAGGAATCCCCATTGTATACTCTGTCATCCACCGTGATCCCAGATCGTGGGGAGTACCCAACGTATACCCTGTACATGCACCATGCTCCCACACCTTGAGGAGCACCCAGTGTATACCCTGTTACCCACCGTGGACCCAGACGGTGAGGAGTATTCAGTTGATATTTTGTCACCAACCGTGCTTCCAGACCTTGAGGGAGTACCCAGTGTATACACTGTCATCCACCATGCTCACAGACAGTGAGTAATACCCAGTGTGTACGCTGTCATCCACCATGCTTCCAGACCGTGAGGAGAGTGCCCAGGGTATAGCCTGTCACCAACCGTGCTCCCAGACCGTGAGGAATACCCAGTGCATACTCTGTCATCCACCATACTTCCAGACCGTTAGGAGTACCCAACGTATACCCTGTACATGCACCATGCTCCCACACCTTGAGGAGCACCCAGTGTATACCCTGTTACCCACCGTGGACCCAGACGGTGAGGAGTATTCAGTTGATATTTTGTCACCAACCGTGCTTCCAGACCTTGAGGAGTACCCAGTGTATACACTGTCATCCACCATGCTCACAGACAGTGAGTAATACCCAGTGTGTACGCTGTCATCCACCATGCTTCCAGACCGTGAGGAGTGCCCAGGGTATAGCCTGTCACCAACCGTGCTCCCAGACCGTGAGGAATACCCAGTGCATACTCTGTCATCCACCATACTTCCAGACCGTTAGGAGTACCCAACGTATACCCTGTACATGCACCATGCTCCCACACCTTGAGGAGCATCCAGTGTATACCCTGTTACCCACCGTGGACCCAGACGGTGAGGAATATTCAGTTGATATTTTGTCACCAACCGTGCTTCCAGACCTTGAGGAGTCCCCAGTGTATACCCTGTCATCCACCGTGCTCCTAGATCGTGAGGAGTACCCAGTGTATACCCGGTCTCACACCGTGCTCCCAGACTGCGAGGAGTACCAAGTATATACCCTGTCATTCACCGTGCACCCAGACAGTGAGTAATACCACGGGTATACCCTGTCATCAAACGTGCTCCCCGACAGTGAGGAGTACCCAGTGTATACTTTTTCACCCGCGATACTCCCAGACCGTGAGGAATGCCGAGTTTGTACCCTGTCACCCACTGTGCTCCCAGACCGTCAGGAATACCCAGTGTATACTCTGTCATCCACCATGCTCCCAGACCGTGAGGAATACCCAGGGTATACCCTGTCAACCACCATGCTTCCAGACCGTGAGGAGTGCCCAGTGTATACCCTGTCACCAACCGTGCTCCCAGACCGTGAGGAATCCCCATTGTATACTCTGTCATCCACCGTGATCCCAGATCGTGGGGAGTACCCAACGTATACCCTGTACATGCACCATGCTCCCACACCTTGAGGAGCACCCAGTGTATACCCTGTTACCCACCGTGGACCCAGACGGTGAGGAGTATTCAGTTGATATTTTGTCACCAACCGTGCTTCCAGACCTTGAGGAGTACCCAGTGTATACACTGTCATCCACCATGCTCACAGACAGTGAGTAATACCCAGTGTGTACGCTGTCATCCACCATGCTTCCAGACCGTGAGGAGTGCCCAGGGTATAGCCTGTCACCAACCGTGCTCCCAGACCGTGAGGAATACCCAGTGCATACTCTGTCATCCACCATACTTCCAGACCGTTAGGAGTACCCAACGTATACCCTGTACATGCACCATGCTCCCACACCTTGAGGAGCATCCAGTGTATACCCTGTTACCCACCGTGGACCCAGACGGTGAGGAATATTCAGTTGATATTTTGTCACCAACCGTGCTTCCAGACCTTGAGGAGTCCCCAGTGTATACCCTGTCATCCACCGTGCTCCTAGATCGTGAGGAGTACCCAGTGTATACCCGGTCTCACACCGTGCTCCCCAGACTGCGAGGGAGTACCAAGTATATACCCTGTCATTCACCGTGCACCCAGACAGTGAGTAATACCACGGGTATACCCTGTCATCAAACGTGCTCCCCGACAGTGAGGAGTACCCAGTGTATACTTTTTCACCCGCGATACTCCCAGACCGTGAGGAATGCCGAGTTTGTACCCTGTCACCCACTGTGCTCCCAGACCGTCAGGAATACCCAGTGTATACTCTGTCATCCACCATGCTCCCAGACCGTGAGGAATACCCAGGGTATACCCTGTCAACCACCATGCTTCCAGACCGTGAGGAGTGCCCAGTGTATACCCTGTCACCAACCGTGCTCCCAGACCGTGAGGAATCCCCATTGTATACTCTGTCATCCACCGTGATCCCAGATCGTGGGGAGTACCCAGTGAATACCCTTTACATCCACCATGCACTCATACCGCGAGGAGTACCCGGTGTATAACCTGTCGCCCACAGTGCTCCCAGACCGTGAGGAATACCCAGTGTATACTCTGTCATCCACCATGCTCACAGACAGTGAGGAATACCGAGTGTATACTCAGTCAACGACCATGCTCTCAGACCGTGAGGAGTACCCAGTGTATACCCTGTCAACCACCGTTCTCCCAGACTGTGAAGAATACCCAGTGTAAACCCTGTCATCCACCGTCCTCCCAGACAGTGAGGAATACCCAGTGTATAACCTGTCATCCACCGTGCTCCCAGACCGTGAGGAAAACCCAGTGTAAACCCTGTCATCCAACGTGCTCACAGACCATGAGGAGTGCTCGGTGTATACCCTGTCACCCTCCATACTCACAGACAGTGAGGAGTACCGAGTATATACCCTGAAATCCACCGTGCTCACAGACCGTGAGGTATGTCCACTGTATACCATGTCACCCACCCCGCTCCCTGAACATGAGGAGTACCCAGTTTATACTCTGTCACCCTCCATACTCCCAGATAGTGCGGAGTACACAGTATATACCCTGATATCCCCAGACAAGACTCCCAGACCGTAAGGAATGCCGAGTTTGTACCCTGTCACCCACCGTGTTCCCAGCCCGTGAGGAGTCCCCAGTGTATACCCTGTCACCAATGGTGCTCCCAGACCGTGAGGAGTACCCAGTGTATACCCTGTCATCCACCGTGCTCCCAGGCTGTAAGGAATACGCAGTGTACACCCTATAATCCGACGTGCTCCCACACCGAGAGGAATACCCAGTTTATACTCTGTCACCCAACATACTGTCAGACCGTGAGAAATACCGATTGTGTACTCTGTCACCCATCGTGCTCCTTGACCGTAAGCAGTCCCCAGTGTACACCCTGACATCCATCGTGCTCCCAGACCGTGAGGAGTACCCAGTATATACCCTGTCATCCACTATGCTCCCAGACCGCGAGGTATGCTGTCATCCACCGTGCTCCCAGACCTTGCGGAATACCCAGTGTATACCCTGTCATCCACCGTTCTCCCAGACCGTGAGGTATGCCCAGTGTATACACTGTTATCCACCGTGCTCTCAGACCGTGAGGAGTACCCAGTGTATACCCTGTCATTCACCGTGTTCCTAGACCGTGAGGAATCCACAGCGTATACCCTGTCATCCACCGTGTTCCCAGATCGTGAGGAATACCCAGTGTATACTCTGTCATCCACCATGCTCACAGACCGTGAGGAATAACCAGTGTATACTCTGTGAACGACCATGCTCTCAGACCGTGAGGAGTACCCAGTTTAAACCCTGTCAACCACCTTTCTCCCAGACTGTGAGGAATACCCAGTGTAAACCCTGTCATCCACAGTGAACCCAGAACATAAGCAGTCCCTAGTGTATACCCTGTCACCCACCGTGCTCCCAGACCGTGAGGAGTACCCAGTATATACCCTGTCATCCACTGTGCTCACAGACCATGAGGTATGCTCTCACAAACCATGCTCCAAGACCGTGAGGAATACCCAGTGTATACCCTGTCATCCACAGTGAACCCAGAACATAAGCAGTCCCTAGTGTATACCCTGTCACCCACCGCGCTCCCAGACTGCGAGGAGTACCAAGTATATACCCTGTCATCAAACGTGCTCCCAGACAGTGAGAAGTACCCAGTGTATACTTTTTCACCCGCGATACTCCCAGACCGTGAGGAAAGCCGAGTTTGTACCTTGTCACCCACCGTGCTCCCAGACCGTCAGGAATACCCAGTGTATACTCTGTCATCCACCATGCTTCCAGACCGTGAGGAGTGCCCAGTGTGTACCCTGTTACCAACCGTGCTCCCAGACCGTGAGGAATACCAAGTGTATACCCTGACAACCACCGTGCTCCCAAAAAGTGAGGAGGACCCAGTGTATACCCTGTCATCCACCATGATCGCAGACCGTGAGGATTACCCAGTGTATACCCTGTCACCCACCGTGCTCCCAGACAGTGAGGAGTACCCAGTAAATACCCTGTACATCCACCATGCTCCCACACCGTGATGAGAACCCAGTATATATCCTGTCATCAACCGTTCTCCCAGACTGTGAGGAATACCCAGTTTATAACCTGTCATCCACCGTGCTCCCAGACCGTGAGGAGTGCTCAGTGTATACCCTGTCACCCTCCATACTCACAGACAGTGAGGAGTACCGAGTATATACCCTGAAATCCACCTTGCTCACAGACCGTGAGGTATGTCCAGTGTATACCATGTCACCCACCGCGCTCCCTGACCATGAGGAGTACCCAGTTTATACTCTGTCACCCTCCATACTCCCAGATAGTGCGGAGTACACAGTATATACCCTGATATCCCCAGACAAGACTCCCAGACCGTAAAGAATGCCGAGTTTGTACCCTGTCACGCACCGTGTTCCCAGCCCGTGAGGAGTCCCCAGTGTATACCCTGTCACTAACTGTGCTCCCAGACCGTGAGGAGTACCCAGTGTATACCCTGTCATCCACTGTGCTCCCAGGCTCTAAGGAATACGCAGTGAACACCCTGTAATCCGACGTGCTCCCACACCGAGAGGAATACCCAGTTTATACTCTGTCACCCAACATACTGTCAGAACGTGAGAAATACCGATTGTGTACTCTGTCACCCAACGTGCTCCTTGACCGTAAGCAGTCCCCAGTGTTCACCCTGACATCCACCGTGCTCCCAGACCGTGAGGAGTACCCAGTATATACCCTGTCATCCACTATGCTCCCAGACCGCGAAGTATGCTGTCACCCACCGTACTCCCAGATCGTGAGGAATAACCAGTGTATACCCTGTCATCCACCGTGCTCCCAGACCTTGAGGAATACCCAATGTATACCCTGTCATCCACCGTCCTCCCAGACTGCGAGGAGTACCAAGTATATACCCTGTCGTTCACCGTGCTCCAAGACAGTGAGTAATACCACGGGTATACCCTGTCATCAAACGTGCTCCCAGACAATGAGAAGTACCCAGTGTATACTTTTTCAACCGCGATACTCCCAGACCGTGAGGAATGCCGAGTTTGTACCTTGTCACCCACCGTGCTCCCAGACCGTCAGGAATACCCAGTGTATACTCTGTCATCCACCATGCTCACAGACAATGAGGAATACCCAGTGTATACTCTGTCATACACCATGCTTCCAGACCGTGAGGAGTGCCCAGGGTATACCCTGTTACCAACCGTGCTCCCAGACCGTGAGGAATACCAAGTGTATACCCTGTCAACCACCGTGCTCCCAAAAAGTGAGGAGTACCCAGTGTATACCCTGTCATCCACCATGATCACAGACCGTGAGGAATACCCAGTGTATACCCTGTCACCCACCGTGCTCCCAGACAGTGAAGACTACTCAGTGTATACGCTGTCACCCATCTTGCTCCTAGACCGTAAGGAATAACCAGTGTATACCCTGTCATCCACCATGATCGGAGACCGTGAGGAATACCCAGTGTATACCCTGTCACCCACCGTGCTCCCAGACAGTGAAGAATACTCAGTGTATACCCTGTCACCCATCTTGCTCCTAGACCGTAAGGAATAACCAGTGTATACCCTGTCACACACTGTGCACCCAGTCCGTGAGGAGTCACAAGTGTATACCCTATCATTCATCGTGCTTTCAGACCATGAGGAATCTCCAGCGGATACCCTGTCATCCACCGTGTTCCCGGACCGTGAGGAGTACCCAGTAAATACCTTGATATCCCCAGACATGACTCCGAGACCGTAAGGAATGCCGAGTTTGTACCCTGTCACGCACCGTGTTCCCAGACCGTGAGGAGTCCCCAGTGTATACCCTGTCACCAACTGTGCTCCCAGACCGTGAGGAGTACCCAGTGTATACCCTGTCATCCACCGTGCTCCCAGGCTCTAAGGAATACGCAGTGAACACCCTGTAATCCGACGTGCTCCGACACCGAGAGGAATACCCAGTTTATACTCTGTCACCCAACATACTGTCAGAACGTGAGAAATACCGATTGTGTACTCTGTCACCCACCGTGCTCCTTGACCGTAAGCAGTCCCCAGTGTTCACCCTGACATCCACCGTACTCCCAGACCGTGAGGAGTACCCAGTATATACCCTGTCATCCACTATGCTCCCACACCGCGAAGAATGCTGTCACCCACCGTACTTCCAGATCGTGAGGAATAACCAGTGTATACCCTGTGATCCACCGTGCTCCCAGACCTTGAGGAATACCCAGTGTATACCCTGTCATCCACCGTGCTCCACGACCGTGAGGAATACCCAGTGTATACTCTGTCATCCACCATGCTCACAGACAGTGAGGAATAACCAGTGTATACTCTGTCAGCGACCATGCTCTCAGACCGTGAGGAGTCCTCAGTGTATACCCTGTCAACCACCGTTCTCCCAGACTGTGAGGAATACCCAGTGTAAACCCTGTCACCCACCTTTCTCCCAGACCATAAGCAGTCACTAGTGTATACCCTGTCACCCTCCATACTCACAGACAGTGAGGAGTACCGAGTATATACCCTGAAATCCACCTTGCTCCCAGACCGTGAGGTATGTCCAGTGTATACCATGTCACCCACCCCGCTCCCTGACCATGAGGAGTACCCAGTTTATACTCTGTCACCCTCCATTCTCCCAGGCTGTAAGGAATACGCAGTGAACACCATGTAATCCGACGTGCTCCCACACCGAGAGGAATACCCAGTTTATACTCTGTCACCCAACATACTGTCAGACCGTGAGAAATACCGATTGTGTACTCTGTCACCCATCGTGCTCCTTGACCGTAAGCAGTCCCCAGTGAACACCCTGACATCCACCGTGCTCCCAGACCGCGAGGTATGCTGTCACCCACCGTACTCCCAGATCGTGAGGAATAACCAGTGTATACCCTGTCATCCACCGTGCTCCCAGACCTTGAGGAATACCCAGTGTATACCCTGTCATCAAACGTGCTCCCAGACCGTGAGAAGTACCCAGTGTATACTTTTTCACCCGCGATACTCCCAGACCGTGAGGAATGTCGAGTTTGTACCTTGTCACCCACCGGGCTCCCAGACAGTCAGGAATACCCAGTGTATACTCTGTCATCCACCATGCTCACAGACAATGAGGAATACCCAGTGTATACTCTGTCATCCACCATGCTTCCAGACCGTGAGGAGTGCCCAGGGTATACCCTGTTACCAACCGTGCTCCCAGACCGTGAGGAATACCAAGTGTATACCCTGTCAACCACCGTGCTCCCAAAAAGTGAGGAGTACCCAGTGTATACCCTGTCATCCACCATGATCGCAGACCGTGAGGAATACCCAGTGTATGCCCTGTCACCTACCTTGCTCCTAGACCGTAAGGAATAACCAGTGTATACCCTGTCACACACTGTGCACCCAGTCCGTGAGGAGTCCCAAGTGTATACCCTATCATCCACCGTGCTCTCAGACCATGAGGAATCTCCAGCGTATACCCTGTCATCCACCGTGTTCCCGGACCGTGAGGAGTACCCAGTAAATACCCTGTACATCCACCGTGCTCCCACACCGTGATGAGAACCCAGTGTATACTCTGTCACCCACCCAGCTCCCAGACCGTGATGAGTCCCCAGTGTATACCCTGTCATCAACCGTTCTCCCAGACTGTGAGGAATACCCAGTATATATCCTGTGATCCACCGTGCTCCCAGACCGTGAGGAAAACCCAGTGTATACCCTGTCACCAACTGTGCTCCCAGACCGTGAGGAGTACCCAGTGTATACCCTGTCATCCACCGTGCTCCCAGGCTGTAAGGAATACGCAGTGAACACCCTGTAATCCGACGTGCTCCAACACCGAGAGGAATACCCAGTTTATACTCTGTCACCCAACATACTGTGAGACCTTGAGAAATACCGAATGTGTTCTCTGTCACCCACCGTGCTCCTTGACCGTAAGCAGTCCCCAGTGTACACCCTGACATCCACCGTGCTCCCAGACCGTGAGGTGTACCCAGTATATACCCTGTCATCCACTATGCTCCCACACCGCGAGGTATGCTGTCACCCACCGTACTCCCAGATCGTGAGGAATAACCAGTGTATACCCTGTCATCCACCGTGCTCCCAGACCTTGAGGAATACCCAGTGTATACCCTGTCATCCACCGTGCTCCCAGACTGCGAGGAGTACCAAGTATATACCCTGTCATTCACCGTGCTCCCAGACAGTGAGTAATACCACGGGTATACCCTGTCATCAAACGTGCTCCGAGACAGTGAGAAGTACCCAGTGTATACCTTTTCACCCGCGATACTCCCAGACCGTGAGGAATGTCGAGTTTGTACCTTGTCACCCACCGGGCTCCCAGACCGTCAGGAATACCCAGTGTATACTCTGTCATCCACCATGCTCACAGACAATGAGGAATACCCAGAGTATACTCTGTCATCCACCATGCTTCCAGACCGTGAGGAGTGCCCAGGGTATACCCTGTTACCAACCGTGCTCCCAGACCGTGAGGAATACCAAGTGTAAACCCTGTCAACCACCGTGCTCCCAAAAAGTGAGGAGTACCCAGTGTATACCCTGTCATCCACCATGATCGCAGACCGTGAGGAATACCCAGTGTATGCCCTGTCACCCACCTTGCTCCTAGACCGTAAGGAATAACCAGTGTATACCCTGTCACACACTGTGCACCCAGTCCGTGAGGAGCCCCAAGTGTATACCCTATCATCCACCGTGCTCTCAGACCATGAGGAATCTCCAGCGTATACCCTGTCATCCACCGTGTTCCCGGACCGTGAGGAGTACCCAGTAAATACCCTGTACATCCACCGTGCTCCCACACCGTGATGAGAACCCAGTGTATACTCTGTCACCCACCCAGCTCCCAGACCGTGATGAGTCCTCAGTGTATACCCTGTCATCAACCGTTCTCCCAGACCGTGAGGAATACCCAGTATATATCCTGTGATCCACCGTGCTCCCAGACCGTGAGGAAAACCCAGTGTATACCCTGTCACCAACTGTGCTCCCAGACCGTGATGAGTCCCCAGTGTATACCCTGTCATCAACCGTTCTCCCAGACTGTGAGGAATACCCAGTATATAACCTGTCATCCACCGTGCTCCCAGACCGTGAGGAAAACTCAGTGTATACCCTGTCACCCTCCATACTCACAGACAGTGAGGAGTACCGAGTATATACCCTGAAATCCACCTTGCTCCCAGACCGTGAGGTATGTCCAGTGTATACCATGTCACCCACCGCGCTCCCTGACCATGAGGAGTACCCAGTTTATACTCTGTCACCCTCCATACTCCCAGATAGTGCGGAGTACACAGTATATATCCTGATATCCCCAGACAAGACTCCCAGACCGTAAGGAATGCCGAGTTTGTACCCTGTCACGCACCGTGTTCCCAGCCCGTGAGGAGTCCCTAGTGTATAATCTGTCATCCACCATGCTCCCAGGCCATGAAAAATACACAGTGTGTACCTTGTCAACCACCGTGCTCCCAGACTGTGAGGTGTACAAAGTGTATACCCTCTCACCCACCGTTCTCCAAGAGCACGAGGAGTCCACCGTGTATACCTTGTCATCCACCCTTATCCCAGACCGTGAGAAGTCCCCAGTGTATACCCTGTCACCCACCGTGCTCCCAGACCGTAATGAGTCACCAGTGTATACCCTGTCATTCACCGTGGTTCCAGACCATGACGAGTACCCAGTATATACCCTATCACACACAGTGATCCGAGACCGTGAGGAGTACCCAGTGTGTACCCTGTCAACCACCGTGCTCCCAGACCGTGAGGAGTACCCAGTGTATTACCTGTCACCCACCGTGATCCCAGACCGTGAGGAATACCCAGTGTATACTATGTTATCCACCATGCTCACAGACAGTGATGAATACCCAGTGTATACTCTGTCATCCACCATGCTTCCAGACCGTGTTGAGTGCTCAGTGTATACCCTGTCACCCACCATACTCCCAGACCGTGAGGATTACCCAGTTTATACCCTGTCACCCACCATGCTCCCAGACTGAGAAGAGTACCCAGAGTATACCCTGTCATCCACCATGCTCCAAGACCGTGAGGAATACCCCGTGAATACTCTGCCATCCACCATGATCACAGACAGTGAGGAATAGCCAGTGTATACTCTGCCATCCACCATGCTCCCAGACCGTGAGGAATACCCAGTGTATACCCTGTCATCCACCATGCTCCCAGACAGTGAGGGATACCCAGTGTATACTCTGTCATCCACCATGCTCCCAGACCGTGAGGAATACCCAGTGTATACCCTGTCATCCACTGTGCTCCCAGACCATGAGGAGTGCTCAGTGTATACCCTGTCACCCACCATACTCCAAGACAGTGAGGAGTAGACAGTATATACCCTGAAATCCACCGTACTCCCAGACCGTCAGGTATGCCCAGTGTATGTCTTGTCACCCTCCGTGCTCCAAGAGCATGAGGAGTACCCAGTGTATACCCTGTCATCAACCATTATCCCTGACCGTGAGGAGTCCCCAGTGTACACCCTGTCATCCACCTTCCTCCCAGACCGTGAGGTATACCCAGTGTGTACCCTGTCAACCACCCTGCTCCCAGACCGTGAGGAGTACCCAGCGTATACCCTGTCATCCACCGTTCTCCTAGAGCGTGAGGAGTACCCAGTGTTTACCCTGTCATCCACCGTGCTCCCAGACCGTGATGAGTACCCAGTGTTTACCCTGTCATCCACCGTGCTCCCAGACAGTGAGGAATACCCAAGGTATACCCTGTCATCAACTGTGCTCCCACACCGTGAGGAGCACCTAGTGTATACTCTGTCACCCACCATACTCCGAGACCGTGAGGAATGCCAAGTTTGTACCCTGTCACCCACCGTGCTCCTAGACCGTGACGAATATCCAGTGTATACTCTGTCATCTACCCTGCTCCCTGACCGTTAGGAGTACCCAATGTATACCCTGTACATCCACTATGCTCCAACACCGTGAGGAGTTCCTGGTGTGTACCCTGTCACCCACCATCCTCAAAGACCGTGTGGAGTACCCAGTGTATAACCTGTCACCCACCGTGATCCCAGACCGTCAGGAATTTCTAGTGTATACTCTGTCATCCACCATGCTCCTTGACCGTGAGGAGTGCTCAGTGTATACCCAGTCACCCACCGTACTCCCAGACCGTGAGGAATACCCTGTATATACCCTGAATCCACCATGGTCCCAGACCGTCTGGTATGCCGAGTGTATACACTGTCACCCACCATGCTCCGAGACCGTGAGGAATACCCAGTGTATACCCTGTCACACACTGTGCACCCAGTCCGTGAGGAGTTCCAAGTATATACCCTGTCATCCACCGTGCTCCCAGACCGTGAGGAGTCCCCAGTGTATACCCTATCATCCACCGTGCTCCAGACTGTGAGGAATCCCCAGCGTATACCGTGTCATCCACTGTGCTCCCAGACCGTGAGGTATGCTTTCACCCACCATACTTCCAGACGGTGAGGAGTAACCAGTGTACACACTGTCATCCATCTGGCTCCCAGACCGTGAGGAGTACTCAGTGTATACCCTGTACATCCACCATGCTCCCACACCATGAGGAATACCCAGTGTATACTCGGTCATCCACTGTGCTCTCTGACCGTGAGGAATAACCAGTGTATACTCTGTCACCCACTGTGCTCCATACCGTGAGCGATGCTGTCACCCACCATACTCCCACACCGTGTGGAATAACCAGTGTATACCCTGTCAACCACCATACTCCCAGACCGTGAGGAATAACCAGTGTATACCCTGTCATCCACCGTGCTCTCAGACAGTGAAGAATACCCAGTGTATACTCTGTCACCAACCTTGCTCCCTGACCGTGAGAAATACCCAGTGTATACCCTGTCACCAACCTTGTTCCCAGACCGTGAGGAATACCCAGTATATACTCGGTCATTCACCATGCCCCCAGACCGTGAGGAATACCCAGTGTATACTCTGTCATCCACTGTGATCCCTGACCGTGAGGAGTCCCCAGTGTATACTCTGTCATCCACCGTGAGCCTAGACCTTGAGGAATACCCAGTGTATACCCTGTCACACACCGTGCTCGGAGACCGTGAGGAATTCCCAGTGTATACCCTGTAATCCACCGATCTACCAGACCGTGAGGAATACCCAGTTTATACTCTGTCAGCCACAAGACTCCCAGACCGTGAGGAATACCGAAAGTGTACTCTGTCACCCACCCTGCTCCCAGACCGTGAGTAGTCCCTGTCATCCACCGTGCTCTCAGACAGTGAGGAATACCCAATGTATACTCTGTCACCAACCTTGCTCCCAGACCGTGAGGAATACCCAGTGTATACTCGGTCATCCACCATGCTCCCTGACCGTGAGGAGTACCCAGTGTATACCCTGTACATCCACCATGCTCCCACACCTTGAGAAATAACCAGTGTATACTCGGTCATGCACCATGCTCCCTGACCGTGAGGAGTACCCAGTGTATACCCTGTTGTCCACCGTGCTCTCAGACCGCGAGGAGTACCCTGTCACCAACCTCGTTCCAAGACCGTGAGGAGTCCCAAGTGTATACCCTGTCATCCATCGTCTTGCCAGACCGTGCGGAATACCCAGTGTATGCCCTGTCATCCACCGTGCTCCCAGACCATGAGGAGTGCTCAGTGTATACCCTGTTACCCACCATACTCCCAGACAGTGAGGAGTAACCAATATATGCCCTGAAATCCACCGTGCTCCGAGACCGTGAGGAATACCCAGTGTATACCCTGTCACCCACCGTGCTCCCAGACCGTGAGGAATACCCAGTGTATACTCTGTCATCCACCATGCTTCCAGACCGTGAGGAGTGCTCAGTGAATACCATTTCATCCACTGTGCTCCCAGACTGTTCTCCCAGACCGCGAGGAATACCCAGTGTATACCATTAGATCCACCTTGCTCCTAGACCGTGAGGAGTACCCAGTGTTTACCCTGTCATCCACCATGTTCCCAGACCGTTAGGTATACCCAGTGTGTAAACCCTGTCATCCACCATGTTCCCAGAACGTGAGGAATGCCCAGTGTGTACCCTGTCGTCCACCGTGCTCCCAGACCGTGAGGAGTACCCAGTGTATACCCTGTCATCCACCATGTTCCCAGACCGTGAGGAATACCCAGTGTGTATCCTGTCACCCACCGTGCTCCCAGACCGTGAGGAGTACCCAGTGTATACCCTGTCATCCACCATGTTCCCAGACCGTGAGGAGTTCCCAGTGTATAATTCCCCTTTATCAACAATACTCCTTAGGCGCGGGGAATACTGAGTATATAACCTCCCTGTTGCAACATTCCTAGAGCGTGTGGTGTATCCAGGATATACCCCACCTTTTAACCCTCAATATTGAATTTGATACAACGCCTTATATTGACTTGAACCTTATGTAACCGTGTTTTCCAGAGGACCAACTGACTTGGCTTTGGGCAGGATGTGCGCACCTTTTTGCGAACACATTGTATAATAGCTTTAATGTGCTTCTTTAACGCATGCTTATAGTCCTAATCGTACAATCGATTTTAGCAGATATATATATATCTGATGATTATGGGAAGTTTTTTGTTTGTTTTATTAATTCAGTGAACATGTTTCTTTCTTACTACACGCATACAACAACTAGAATCATTTAATAACACTTTTCCAAACCATCTGTGATAACGTTTATTCTCATGTGAATCATCTTTGTTTATTCGTGATTGATTTATGCATGAACATTCGAGCCATGTGACGGCAAACAGCCCTTAGATTGGTGCATGAGCTCCAGACATTGGCCATCAGCAATGAGAAGGAAAACTGTTGACCTGAGTCCTCAAAATCCTCAGTCGTCAGTTCTGATGAAACTTGACGATCCCCAGTACTATGGTTTAACGGGGATTTGGGAGTTGAGTCTTTCCACTTGGCACACATCAGCACTGTTCTTTAAACGAGAATTTGGGAGTTGAGTTTTTCCGCTTGGCACACATCAGCACTGTTCTTTAAACGGGGATTTGAGAGTTGAGTTTTTCCATTTGGCACACGTCAGGACTGTTCTTTAAAAACGGGAATTAGTGGTTGAGTGTTCAACCCGGGTCTACAGAGGAGCAGCTATCTACAATTTGCTGGACGTAGCCCGAATTGAAACTGATGGTCAGCTGTGATTGTACGTCCACTGACGGCATCACCGCCGTTGACCTTTGTTTCTGTTATTGTACTGCAATTAAATACATATGCTAGAATGCCGCTCGGTCTATGCAGCAGTTTATGCGAATAAATATCCCCTGAACACTATCCTGAGTGTTCAGCCTGAAACCAGTACACTGTTAAACACGGTGGAACGTGTTCAAATGACACCTTATGGTATCTCGTCGACACATGACCATACCATTACTAAATACCCGCTTCAAACGATCTGTTCGTCTATTGCTCATTCATAATGCACAATGTCAAATGTTAGGGTTTTTCTTTACTCTTCTGACACACAAGGTCACGTTCTCTACACTGGCCACCTTTACACAACAAATCATGTTGCAAATATGAGTTACGACAGTTTTAGCTTTATGGCATCTTCGTTCAAATTAACCATGGAATGGAACCGTCATCACAATGACACTACGATGAGCGATGAAGCCGCACTCTGGACCTGCCTTCCTGATACCAACAGTGTTTACACTTAGCTTTTCGCTATCTTGACATCACCATTTGACTCAAAGCAAGATACAGTTCCTAACTGGATAAATATTTACATCTTTCCTTTTTTTCAGTTGGGTGGTTTCTACCATGGCTGATAACACATGCATGCATGTCAGGTTGCAGGATGAATGAAGTCCACTTCGGCCATGTTTACTGATGGCCAGTATTCAAACGGGGCGTCTGGGCTATCGTCGAATAGGCATTGCGTGTCGGACATCTTTAAACATACAACTTTCTGGGCGTACCTGAAATAAAACAGGATGCATTGTTGAATATGGAGCAAAGAATAACATTTAAAGACAGCATTGACATGGGAAAACGAAATATAAATGTTGAAAACAGGCATTATACTGTGTATGCTGGAGCAGTAAGTATATACTCGTCATGATTTGTTTTATATAGTTATTCGTACGTGTGCAAGGTTAGAATAACCGGTGCCAGCAGAAAGGGGTCGTATAAGAGGGTTTTTTTCGGAAATATATTTACCAATAAATATTTCAAAAGCATTGCCAAACTTGTAACATAATATGGTGTTGAAAGGGTACAGGGACTTTTGACGACATCCATTTCAATAAAGTGTGTAGTTTTTTTCAGTTAAGAGATTCAAAAACTGACATCTGTCAAGAAAAATGACAAATGGCATATTTGGGATTACTCCTATTGACATTACAAACAGATGGCTTCAAAGGAGCTGCATATTTGTTTGGGAAAACTTGCTGACAAACTGTTGTAGCCTTTCATGGCTAACGTGGATAGGAACGAGTATTATAAATGGTTTGTGCCGTTATTCTGAAAGATCAATATCATAGAATCACTCTTGACAAATATTCACTGTAACCTACGGTGGATGTAGCAAGTACATATGCTGTGACAACTGTGATTGTGTGGAAGACCTCTGGCTGTAGCAGGGACACCAGTATGCCGTTGGCGCTACAGTCAACGCAAGTATTTCACATCGCTATCTTCCATCAACACACATTTTTTTCACAAGATTATTTAAGGTATTGTTTACACTACCCCGTGCCAATGTATTCAACCAATATTGTTAAATCTACCACAGCACAAACATACCAGGTTCGCAGCAAGACGGAAAGCACATACTGGACCAAATAAAGATAGCCTGTTGGAGAATATGGCTGTTATTTGTTAGTTTATTCTCTTATAAGACCCCGTATGCTTTACGCACTCCACACTTATCACGGGGGTTCTCTGCGCCCGTTTCTTCCAAAGTGTAATGCACACTATCGCAATACATATTTATGTTTGGGGGATTTATGTGCAGACCCGTCAACCGTATCCCCGTGTTTTGTTTTGACAGCTGTTAAGGTCACAAGAAACGCTAGAAGTGATCCGTTTATCAGAGAAAGTTAAATATGGCTGCTGCAATGGAGTCCTTTGTATGGGAAATTGCACGTGCTTAATTTGCTGTCCTACTCGGAAGGTGTCCGGTGAACCGTGTCGGACTCTGGTTGGAGTGGAACCTGTGCAGTATATTGTTTGGACACGTATGAAGAAGTATTAACTTGGCTTCCCGGGCTGCTACAGTTTCTGTGAACCATTGTTATCAATATCCACACTTATAATGGGACTGTATGGTATATTTACTCGTTTTAAATGTGATTCTCTTATCATTAAACCATAAACATAACCTGTGTGTTTAACGTCCATCAACTTGTACCACGGCGTGTGGCCTCAGTACATCTATGTCATTTACAAAATATGGTGAGCAAGTAAAAACACTTATAAGTGGAGACCGTGACCAAAAGTGAAACCTCCCCATTAACTGACTTCCATTAACACGTCATTGGCGACGCATTCAGTTGCACGGTTCGTTCACTTATCATATGTGATATATTTACAAAATTCACCAAACTGAGGCCTTGGACACCAAGTAAAACTACCACTGGCATTCAGTTACAAATACACAGGTGTTAAATACCAGCTATGTAGTACAGCTGGGTTATCTATATTTCCGCAAAGACAGATACACTTTGAAATGTTTCACAAGGCGCTTGCTGAACCCCTGAATATGATACTGCACATAATATAACTGTGAAAAGCCAGCATGCGTGGTCAACAAAGGTTTGTATTATAAGAGGACATTTTAACGATGGTAGTTTTTCACCTTTCCTTGTAGGTCTCACTTCATCTCATATTCATCCGTTACTGGTAGTGTTCTATTAAAACACAGTTCTTTATTTCTCGGGGTAGACGTGCAAGGAGCTGACATTGTAGTTTAACAAAATGTAGCCTGAAGCCATTGAGACAGACCAAAAGCTCATTTACAGACATCTATCAGCACGCAGATAAATCATCTGACCATTCTGGTATCACCTTACACTGAGCTTCCCCCGGCGCAGTGATCACTCCGCGTTACATCAATGCAGCCAGCAAATTTACGTATCACATGACCGTACTTTGCCTTGAACGCGCTTCTTCTCGTATTTATACAGTAGAAATTCAGACTTGTGGAGGTCCAGCCTTGTGGAAGTCTTTCAGTGCGGTTTTCAGATTTTACAGGGCTTCTTGTAATCACCCTAAACAAGGGGAGCCTATTTCTTTTCAGGTATAAGAATGTTAGAAAGTTCACTCATTTCATGGCATGTGTAAATCTACATGACAGTATTTACCAAAATTAGATATAAATGATGTGACGAATCGATTAAAGGCAATGAGTATTTAGACAGAAGAATTGCGACATATTTACACTATTACAGCTTTCCGGTGATTAGAACAGTGCCTGCTTCTCAACATTGTCAATAATGTCTTTATAGCATAATGCTTTAAACTTAATGTGATCTTTCTCTTCCTCACCGATAACATGCACGATCCGCACTGGTAAGAAGGGACATGACTTAAGGTTTAGTACCGTTTATGAATCAACATAAATTATTTTGTGTTTTGTTTCCTTATGTGATTGTTTGACTATTAAACTTGCTGTAGTATCTTCATGCTTGCTTTTCTGATACTATGCTACCTTCGTATAAACTAAATCTTTACCAGGTATTTTTTAGCTTGAAAGAACTCCATCGAGACAGCACTTGTTTTTAATCCCACAATAATTACGCATCTGTTGATTACACCATTTCAGATAAAAAATGCTCTTTTGATGTAAGTTGTATAGACGATACTTGATATTGCCATCATATTGTATATCTGTGCATGGTGGTTTGAATAAACATGAAACCGACACATGTTTAGACCAAAAGAATTCCTAAACTATCAACTTAACTCATCTTCACATGTTGAATCAGCTTTACAACCTTTGTACTCAATCCATTTCTACACAAACAGGCGCTTAGAGGCTATGACGCAGCGATCATACACTTTGAAAGCGCTTTGTTGGGTATAAACGCATTGATTGTGTGTGTGTGCGTGCGTGCGTGTGTGTGTGTGTGCCTGGGTTGAGGTGTATCCTTATGATTGGGCTGCGGAGACTGGGATACAACATTAAACTAAGTATGGCTACTGCTTTTAGTATTTCATTTCTATTGTTTTCGTAAACATTTTCAAATGTTCAGATTTATTGTTTTCTCAGCCCCTTTTTCTCCTACCATGCACTTGTAGAATGTTTCGTGACACTCTCGGGATGTGAAATATGATATGAGCGATTTACTCCCATTAGTTAGACATCCCAATTGTCAGACACTATAAATGGGAATGTCCCAATTGGATATTTCAACCAGTTAGTTGAACCTAAGGAAAACTGTTATTGTGTATATATATTTTGGAGTTATTTGTGATAGAAAGTGTTATCAATCTATCTATATCAAATATCTGTCATCAAGCTACTAAACCCATTTATTTTGTTTTACGCAGAAGTGGAATGTTAAACTTATTAATACCATAATAACTATATTTCTTTGATTCAATGGTGAAACCAATCTTGTTGTACGGTTGTGAAATTTGGGGATATGTTAATGTAAAACAAATTGAAAATGTACGTATATGTTTTATGAGAAAAGTATTACCTGTAAAGAAAATTACCCGTTTGTATATGCTGTATGGTGAATCAGGTATAGTGGTACTTTCTGTTGATGTTAAAATTCGTATGGTAACTTTTTGGTCTAAATCATTTATAAACAATTCATCTAAATTATCTTCAACCTTTTATCCTATTGTATGTAATCTTCATAATGAAGGTATTCACAGCTGTAGCTGGATCTCAACTGAATTTGAAAATTATCTAACGTCCCTACCCTTTAACAAAGATATCCCCTTACTCCATTTTCGTACTTCATGCCACCATTTACCAGTTGAAACAGGAAGATGAAGCAGGATACCAATAGATGAAAGAAAATGTAAATTATGTTGTATGAATGATAAGGGAAATGAGTTTCATTATATTCTTAAATGCACATATTTTATAAAAGAAAGATGAATGTATATACCAGCTTCCATTATAAAAAGACCAAATATGTTAAAGTTTAAATCACCCTTTGCATGTAAAAAGATATCTGTTATGAAATATCTCAGTAAATTCTGTAAATATATCATGCAAATTGTAAAATGTTCCGGCCAACTACTATTCCGCCATAATATTATCATGTATTGTCATTTGTCCCTCATATATCGATGATATCGGCCTGAGTGTAATAAGGGCGGTGGGGTAGCCTTGTGGTTAAAGCGTTGGCTCGTCACGCCGAAGACCCGGGTTCAAATCCCCACATGGGTACAATGTGTGAAGCCCATTTCTGGTGTCCCCCGCCGTGATGTTGCTGGAATATTGCTAAAGGCGGCGTAAAACCAAACTCACTCACTCACTGAGTGTAATAAAGGTCGGTTCTGTTATTTATTTTATGGGCCATTCCTATTTTATTAAGAGGTAACAGGCAGGGGATTAGCTGTGCACTCAACCAGATGGTTTGTTGTTTTAACCTTTTGTACACACAAATAGATTTGTAAAGAGAACGTACTTTAGGTTACGCATTTGACCTGTGACTTGCAGCCGATAGTCCCTATAGTTGACCTGTTGATTGCAGTCGATAGTCACTATATTTGACCTGTGCTTGCAGTTCGTAGTCCCTATATTTGACCTGTGGCTTGCAGTCGATAGTCACTATATTTCACCTGTGGCTTGCAGTTCGTAGTCCCTATATTTGACCTGTGGCTTGCAGTTGATAGTCACTATATTTGACCTGTCGATTGCAGCCGATAGTCCCTATATTTGACCTGTCGATTGCAGTCGATAGTCACTATATTTGACCTGTCGATTGCAGTACATAGTTACTGTATTTGACCAGTC